CCCCCCCCCCCCTCTTTCCCCCGGCCACACACACAAATTTCAATTTAAACCACCCCTTTAATCCAAAAAAGAGGAAAAACAAAACAAATTATTTTACACTTTAGCTTTAAGTTTATATTTTATTACTCTTACAGTTGATGACAAGGGAAGAAATACTATGGAGTAATGTATTTCTTTTGAATAGACATAGATGGAAAAATCCTTTGAATTATCAGGAATTTGTACAGGGACCTAATATCTGCTGTACGAATTAATAAAGAATACAGTGAATATATGCAGATTGGAGGGAGGAGTGAGGCAAGGACGTGTTATGTCACTAGACCTCTTTAACATATTATACAGTGAGCAGTCCTTAGAAACACAAAAGAATGTCCAGGTTTCAAAGTGAATGGCAAAAATAGTCATAATCATATATGCTGATGATGCAGTTTTAATAGCAGACCCAGAAAAGGATCTTCAATCGCTTCTAGATACTGTTGTCACGGAAAGTGAACGTAGATGGTTATTGTTGTGTGCAAAGGAGACAGAAGGCATGGTAACATCTGAAAAACGCAGCAAGTCCTATTTGTAATCTCATAAGCAAAAGCGAAAAGATCGAACAAGTCCAACAGTTAAAATGTTTATGATATTATAATAACATGGGATGCCAAATGTTCTGCTGAAATAATATAACGAAGAATTAAAATGGTTAAGGCTCCTCTGAATAAAATGAACCCAATAGAAGCAAAAGAAATCTGGTATCTGGCAAAACTGAAGGCAAACGAGACAGAACAACTTACTAAGAAAACCTAAACGGATTGGTAACGGGGACAGATCAGGGCAAAGTAGTTGTTTAAAGAGCCATTCGAGCAAAGTAATGAATTGAGAACCATGATCGCCGATGTCTGCAGCAGATATGGCACTTGATGATGATGATGATGATGATGATGATGATGATGATGATGATGATGATGATGATGATGAGGATGATGATGATGATGATGATGATGCTGATGATGATGGGGATGGTGATGATGATGTTGATGATGATGATGATGATGATGAT